GTATGGAAGTGAGAGCTGGACCATAAAGAAGGCTGATCGCCAAAGAATTGATGCTTTTGAATTCTGGTGCTGGAGGAGACTCTTGAGAGTCCCATGGACTGCAAGAAGATCAAACCTCTCCATTCTGTAGGAAATCAGCCCTGAGTGCTCACTGGAAGGTCAGATCCTGAAGCTGAGGCTCCAATACTTTTACTACCTCATGAGAAGAGAAGACTCCCTGGAAAAGACCCTGATGTTGGGAAACATTGAGGGCACAAGGAGAAGGGGACGACAGAGGACGAGATGGTTGGACAGTGTTCTCAAAGATACTAACATGAGTTTGACCAAACTGTGGGAGGCAGTGGAAGACAGGAGTGCCTGGCGTGCTCTGGTCCATGGGGTCACGAAGAGTCGGAGACGACTAAATGACTAAACAACAACATTCCGGGTGTGGTCTGACCAAGGCAAAACAGAGTGGTACTATTACGTCCCTTGATCTGGACACTAAACTTATGTTGACACAGCCAAAATATCATCACATATCCTGACTTAGAATTAAGGGACTGGCCAACTTCTGGTGCATTGCTTACAACAAAAGTAATGTAGAAGGCAGGATGTCAGATTTTGACTTGGCAGTTCCAGCTTCAAATGCTCAGCCACGAAGCTCCCTAAGCAACCTGGAGTCAGTCGCCATCTCTCAACCTAACCAACCTCACAGGGTTAAAATAAGCGGTGGGGAACTATGAAGGATACCCCCGGGCTCATTGGAGGCAGAGTAGGGTAAGAATGAAGCCAATATATGCACAATGCAAAACAGCCCCGTCTCAGGGAAGCTGGTTTTCCTGTGCAATTGTCCTGCCTCGCCCCTGGTGCATGGCTTTGCACAATTTATAGACCAGATTAGAAGTATAAATGCTGCATTTTCAGGCATTTCCCCCCTCCCCTGCCAAATCAATGAGGCCCTCCAAGTCAGAAGCTGATACCAGCCCTGATAAACACACTGTGACTAGATAAATCCAAACAGCTTTGACATTAAACCGGGGGAAGGTATTACTTTGAAGGGTTTAACATATTAACAGACTCCAAACACCATTTCAAAATATTTATGGAAATCGCTATCATAAAGCTTGTACAAGCAGAATAACAAAACCCTGAGAAATATTATTAAAATCCCACCCTCCATTAAACATGTCGACACTTAAAAGCTTCCGCCTGACATATATATTTTAGCCACTGGTGATTAAACACAAACCAACCCCTTGGCTATTTTAACTCATTGGATTTCTTGGGCCCTGCGAGGATTAAGAGGGAGGAGAGTTGACGGTAATTTGTTCTAAAAACCTTCAAAATTTTGAAGGGAAATCACATGCACCCTTGTTTATCGCAGTGGTCTGGACTCAAAAGATATTCAAATTATGTGGGTAATTAGTCATTACATTTGTACTAAACATGAGGGCTCTCTGTGAATTGAAGATTAGGCTTTGAGCACAGAAACCAGATATGGATAACACAGATCCTTCAAGTGTCCCTATTTTCCAGGGACAGTCCCTAATTTACAGAAGCTGTCCCGGTTTCTGATTTGATTCTGGAATGTCCCATTTTTTCTTAAAAGGTAAAGGGACCCCTGACCGTTAGGTCCAGTCGTGGACAACTCTGGGGTTGCGGCGCTCATCTCACCTTACTGACCGAGGGAGCCGGCGTACAGTTTCCGGGTCATGTGGCCAGCATGACTAAGCCGCTTCTGGTGAACCAGAGCAGCGCACGGAAACACCGTTTACGTTCCCGCCAGAGTGGTACCTATTTATCTACTTGCACTTTTTGGTGTGCTTTTGAACTGCTAAGTTAGCAGGAGCAGGGACTGAGCAATGGGAACTCACCCTGTTGCGGGGATTCGAACCGCCGACCTTCTGATCGGCAAGTCCTAGGCTCTGTGGTTTAACCCACAGTGCCACTCACGTCCCTCCTGATTTGCTGACCTGGTGCTAATACATCTTTCCATTAATCATTTGCTCATTCCACATTTTTCAATGCATTTCCCCAACAATTTCTTAACCACACACACACACACACACACACAATCAGGTTTCTTTTTTTGAAAAAGTAGATCTGTGGTGCTGGAGCAACAGGGCATTTTATTCCACTTTAATTGAGGAAACGGAAAACTTCCAAGAATGTGTTTGAATCCCTCCTACAAATTCTGACATTCTGAAGGCGTCCTAAAAACTTGTGCAACTTTGTCATTTTGATTAGGAGTGAAATGTGTGCATAAAATGTGTTGAGAAATGCTTAATTCATCACAGCTTCCCTTTGTTTTTTTGGAAGGGCAAACAAAGCATCGGAAAATGTGTGCATATATAAAATTAAATTCCAGGGTATTTTCAACACAAACAAATATTGACAACCCTTCTAAACTTCTTCTTTCTTTTCCCCTTTTGGTAAAGTTTCCCCCCCTCTGACCCTGTCATCGCTGTGTCCTTTGGAAAGGGGGGGGGATAAGATGTGTAACGACTTAAAAAACAGGACAGTTTTACTGTGTATTTAAAAACCCTACTTAAATACGTAAACAATAAAAGCCATCAAGATGCCAAATGTTCCCCCATTATTCCCTAAATACCTTCTAAATCATGGACTGTTCAAGGAGAAATAGGTGAACAGTTTGTGGAAGGTGTGTGTTGTGTATAACTGTTTCTTAAAAGGAAAGTAAGTTTTCCGGTCCTGTTAACAAGGACACTGCACTCCAAACAAACATGAGTTTTTAGCGCAGAGATGGAAAACCTTTGACCCTCCAGATGTTGCAGAAGTCTGTCTTCCATCAGCCCCAGGCTGCATGACCAATGGTCAAAGATAATAATAATTTCATTATTTGTAGCCCACCCATCTGACTGGGTTGTGCCAACCATTCTGGGCGGCTTCCAAAAGATATAAAAACACAATAGAACATCAAACATTAAGAACGTCCCTCTACAGATGGCAGGAGTTGGAGACCAACAACAACTGGAAGACCTCATAGCTGCTTCGGCAAATGCTAAGTCACAGAATTATGCATGTAACAGGCCCTGACTTCAAATTTTGGGGGTCATTCAAATTTTGCAGAGTGGCCTTGATGTTCCTGCCTTCCCAGTATCCCTATGCTCCAGCCTCCTCCACCAGCTCAGGCAAAAACTCATGAGGTAAGTTCTTTCAAGGGACGTGGGTGGCACTGTGGGTTAAACCACAGAGCCTAGGACTTGCTGATCATGGTTGTCTACACTGACACTCTCTCTCCCTGCATGCCCTTCCTGAAGAAATGCCTTGTATTCTCCATTGCCTCCCCATCCCCTGACTTTCCCCACGAAATTAAATGACATTGCACAGCATTCAGGCCATGTTGCATCTTGTTTGTTACCTAAGTTTCCTCTCCACTTTCGTGGTGGTATTGCTGGCACCCGTCGTGTCTCGAGGCAATGGAGTGTGCCTCCAGGGGTGAAGTCAAACCACTGGGTTAGTAGCACCTAAGTGGCCTCCCCGGGCTGCAAGCCTGGGCAGTGTGTCTGGAGGTCCTGGAATGTCCAGATGGCAAGACCCTCCCTCAGCCTGGCTGATGGGGTCCAAAGGAAAGCAGAACAAGATGTTTGGCATCAGCTTGTCTGTTGGGGCTGCCGGAAGGAGACGTACAAGGCACCATCCAACCGTCTTAGGGACTCCATTCCATATTTGTGTAGGGTTTACTCCTTAGCCTTTTCTTCTCTTGAACGTATCCCACAAGCTAGCAGAGGTTTAGGATTAGACTTCTCCTTCTCCTAGATTGATTAGCCCTAATAATACATAGGGACATGGGTGGTGCTGTGGGTTAAACCACAGAGCCTAGGACTTGCCGATCAGAAGGTCGGCGGTTCGAATCCCCGTGACGGGGTGAGCTCCCGTTGCTTGGTCCATGCTCCTGCCAACCTAGCAGTTCGAAAGCACGTCAAAGTGCAAGTAGATAAATAGGTACCGTTCCGGCGGGAAGGTAAACGGTGTTACCGTGTGCTGCTCTGGTTCGCTAGAAGCGGCTTAGTCATGCTGGCCACATGACCCAGAAGCTGTACACCGGTTCCCTCGGCCAATAAAGCGAGATGAGCGCCGCAACCCCACAGTCGTTCATGACTAGACCTAATGGTCAGGCGTCCCTTTACCTTTACCTATGGTTTTTTATGAAGATTCTCAGATTGGGAAAATATCAGTTCGTTAAAAGACATGAAAGACCGCTGTGTCTTAATTTTAACTAAACAAAGGGAAGCTGGAAGACAGCCCAGAGTCCTGGAAGATAAGATGGTGGAAGGAAAACAGGGCTCTCTGAGGGGGGACTGCAACGAAAATAATGGATGGACAAACCAAAAAAAAGAACAAAATTTTCTCTTGCATGTTAATTTACATATAGATCTGTTAAACAGGTTAGAAAGTTGCATACCAGTGACTGTCAAGATAAGATAAAGGATTAAGATCGGGAATAAATAAGAGAGAGAAAAGCAGGAACAAGAAATAAATAAAAAAATTCTCCTGGCCAGTCAGAACATGGGAAGTCTCCTTAAATTATATAATTCGAAATGTATAATTGATTTTATTATTTGTATTATGATGTGGCAAGATTTGGTATTGTATCAATTGGGAGTATTATTAATCAAAAATTAATAAAAAATATTATCACTACAGTGGTATCTCGGGTTACATACGCTTCAGGTTACATATGGTTCAGGTTACACACTCCGCTAACCTAGAAATAGTGCTTCAGGTTAAGAACGTTGCTTCAGGATAAGAACAGAAATCAGGCTCCGGCGGCACGGCAGCAGCAGGAGGCCCCCATTAGCTAAAGTGGTGCTTCAGCTTAAGAACAGTTTCAGGTTAAGTACGGACCTCCGGAACGAATTAAGTACTTAACCCGAGGTACCTCCGTATTATTTAAAAAAGAAACCAACATAGGCAATAAGAGGAAAACAAGAAGATATCATAAACAAAGGAAGGGCAAGTCACATGAAAGACAAGTCACATGGAAAGAGACTCACAGTCCATCTCGGAGTTCTGGTGTGTCGTTTGGCGTCCCCAGGGATTTAAGACTCCTTTCCAGAGAAGTCACTGCCAAAAGAAGAAATTTTTTTATTCGTTATTAACCTCATCATCTCATAGGATAGCACCCTGGGACAAAAAAACACCAATCCATCTTTATGGGTGTCATTCTCACATTGAACCAAAGAGGAAGAACAGGATTATTCCTGGGAGGTGTGAGAAGAAATATTGATCTTTGCCAGACTGATCAGATACTACTTAAGGAAGGAGCAACAAATCTGTCAATTTAATTTCTCTCCCCCCTCCCCTAATCTTAACATTCCTGCATAAAAGCATTTTAAAAAATAAATAAAAACACTTTTTTTGCAGGAAATTGCCCTAATATAATGTGTTTTGTATGTTATCATCTCTAATATCTGCATTTTTAGGCACAATTCTCCCCATTGTATTCATTGTATACACAGTGTGGTTGGAGAACTGAACTGCAAATTTGGAGACTTGTAAATACTGAAGAATGGCTGTGTTTCGGTTTGCCTACTGGTTAGGGACGTCTGAATTAGGTAGTTTTTCTCATTATAATGGAAGCAAAATCCCTATACTCTGGGATGGAGAACATGTAAACCCAACAACTTGCTTTGAGTTTTCACTGAGGTGAAATTGCAATGAGAAGACTATGAAATTATTCCTATCTGGCAGGGGAGGCAACAGAGATTGAGAAAGGGAGATGAAAAATCATTCTCAATAAATCTGGAGTAGTGAATTGGATGAGCCACACATAGTGTCAACATAAATTATTTTATTCTGAAGCAAACTTTCTTCTTCTTCTTTTACATTGTATGGTTCATATGCTACCTCAGAAATAAACAATAAGAGGAAATCACACTTGATCTCAATATGTCTCGAAGCTTTGGGGAGAGCTCAGCAATTCTGGACAAACTCCATTCGGATATAAACCAAAGTTTGTTGTGGGTAAATTAAGGAAGTAGAAGAAGAGCCATTGGCCCATCAAGCTCAATATCCTGTTCTCAAAGTGGCCAAGTTGAAGTCTGTGGGAAACCTGCAAGCAGGGTCTCAGGACAAGAGTCCTCTCGCCCTCTTGTGCTGTTATGTTTCCAAGGGGTTGCTCGAGAGCAAGCAGGCAACTATCTCCCTGCTTGGCTGTGAAGCCTTGGCTTTGCTGCCAAAATAAACTTTATCTGTCCAGAGCGCCACTCTCCCATGGCTAACTCAATCGCTGGCAGAATCTGTGAGTGGGCGGTTCCTAAACCTTCCCCAGCAAAGAATTTCCTAACGCCCAGTCTGCGCCTCCCCTCTTTGCACGGATGCTTACTGCGCAAGGAGGGCGTGGGTAACGGAGGACCCCTCTCCTCCCCACTTTGCCCAGGCAAGGAGACCTGACACCACCTTGCCTCCTCCGAGCCCTGCAACTCCTCCCCACTGAATGCGTGGTTACTCTCCTCCATTGAAGAGGAGCTGCTTCCCAGGATCCTTGGAAGCTCTCTATAATCCATTCGGCTTTTGCTCTCTCCCTCCTGAACCGATGGCAGTTCCCTGACATGTGCTTTTCAGAAGTGCTGCTGTCTTTGAGTGTGGAGGCAGAGCCTAGCCATCATGGCTAGTAGGCATTAATAATAATAATAATAATAATAATAATAATAATAATAATAATTTATTTATATCCCGCCCTCCCCAGCCAAAGCCGGGCTTAGAGTGGCTAACAACAATAAAAGTAACACAGCATTCTAAAATCAATTCATTTTAAAATCAATTCAAAATCAAATTAATGGCAACCATTGGGCTAGAGTTCTCTGAGGATTACAGAAGAAGGGGGTCAGAATGTGCCTTAGCCAAAGGCCTGGTGGAACAGCTCTGTCTTGCAGGCCCTGCGGAAAGATGTCAAGTCCCGAAGGGCCCTAGTCTCTTCTGACAGAGCGTTCCACCAGATCGGGGCCACGGCCGAAAAAGCCCTGGCTCCGGTTGAGGCCAGCCTAACCTCCCTGGGGCTGGGGATCTCCAAGATGTTTTTATTTGAAGACCGTAAGGTCCTCCGTGGGACATACCAGGAGAGGTGGTCCCGTAGGTACGAGGGTCCTAGGCCGTATAGGGCTTTAAAGGATAAAACCAGCACCTTGAACCTTAACCTATACTCCACCAGGAGCCAGTGCAGCTGATATAGCACCGGGTGAATGTGATCCCACGGTGAGGACCCCATAAGGAGTCTCGCTGCGGCATTCTGCACCCGCTGGAGTTTCTGGGTCAGTCTCAAGGGCAGCCCCACATAGTGAGTTACAATAATCCAGTCTGGAGGTGACCGTCATGTGGATCACAGTGGCTAGGTCAGGGCGAGAGAGGTAAGGAGCCAACTGCTTAGCTTGGCTGGAGATGGAAAAATGCCACCTTTGTTATAGCTGCAATCTGCGCCTCCATGGAAAGGGAGGTGTCGAAGATTACACCCATACTCTTAACGGATGGTGCTGGCCCTCTCCCCCATGAATTTGTCCAATCCTCTTCTCAGGGGCATTGGAAGGGGGGGTACGGGTGTCATCCTTGAGGGGGGGTGGAAAAATGGCACACTGCGGGGGGCGGCACTTACCGTAGGGCCTGGCCTGCTGCGCGCCCGAGCCACACATCTCTCCTGGGAGTGACGTGGTGGCTCAGGGCCTTGCGCTGCCCAAAACAGCAGCATGGGGCTTGCGTCCGCTAGGCGGACTCCGTGGGCAGCCACCCCCGTGGGCGGATCAGCGCAGCCCGCCCATGCACGGATCGCCGTGGCACCCCTATGAGGTGCCCCGTGGGCGGTGGATTGGTTCGCCCCCATCGGCAGATTGCCCCGCCCCCGTAGGTGAATCATCCTGCCCCCACCGCTCCGGGTGCCAGAGCAGCTAGCTACACCACTGCTTCTTCTAAAGCTATCGAGGTTGGTGCCCCTCAATGTCTCATGCAGGAACGAGTTCCCTAATTTATCTATGCACTGCATCTAGAAGTCCTTTCACTTCTCTGTCCTGAATCTCCCAATGTTCAGCTTCTTGGGGTGTTCACTGAATGTTTTTAACCCTAGTTAAACATGCATTTGGGAGGAGAGCGAAAAGGAGACACACACACAGGATATCTGCACATCCCCTTTTCTCACCTGCTGCTGCACTGCCACACCCTTTGGAAAAACCCGGAAAACAAGAGAGACAACTGGAAAACAAGGAAGCGCACCAGAAAGTACAACACGGTTTTAACACAGCCGACAGAGGGCTATTTTTGCAAAATGAGATCCTATCTGCGCCTGTCCATTGGGGGATATAGGAAGCCCTGAACACATATTTTTTAGATGTCCCTTTTACGATGAGGCACGTAGAGAAACCATTGACCCCTTGCTGGTGAGGCTTGCTGACCTCCCGGTAAAGCAAAAATTTGATCTTCTCCAGTGAGGCAAAGACCACAAGACTACACAGATTGTCGCCAGATTCTGCGCACAGATCTGTAGGCACAGATCATCCCCGATTCAATCTAGTTTGTTAAGAAAGGTAGTCTAACTTAAAATGTGTATGTATTTTTATGCCAATCACACTTTTAAACTTAAAATCCATTGTATATTGTTTGAAATGTTTGTTTTGCTATTGGGATTGTAGTTCCATTTGTGTTTCACAAGCTGGTCTCTGACCGTAATAAATTTCATGTTCATGCTCATGACATCCTATGCATGTACCATTCTATAAAACAGCCTCCTCTTGTTCAAAAAGGAGTTTCTGAACATTGTAATACAAACTGCACCCAATAGACTGGCGTGTCTGAAATACGCACCATTGGCATTAATTCGGAAGACGCTGGCTGATGTATCCTGGAAAAGATCCTGTAGTTCATTGGGATCCATCTGTGTGGCTGGAAAGAAGAAGAGGTGAGACAGTTAATGTATCAAGCTGCAGCTGTTGATCTGGTCTCAATTTATAATGCTCCAGAGTGTCTCAAATATGAGCACAACATAGGAGACGCTAAGCCACTGCAAACAGGTTCTCAGGAGGAAAAGCAAACAGGCTTTGTGACTTCCCCACAAACTTTCCCTTGTGAGTGACCTCTGCCCCTTAATTCATATTACTTTTATTGTTCTGGGGTAGGCCTGGGCTGAATGTTTAAACAAGTATGGCCCGCTTGCGAGATCTGAATCTCCGCCACCTGAATTTAGCTGGCTAGGGGTGCTTTTCAGGCACGTCACGAAGCACAGGAAAAGCCCATCTTAGCTGGAAAGTTCATTCCGAGTTATTTAGGTGAAGAAACTGATCTGTTAAAACAGGATGAAATCAGGTTTACAATCTCTGGCATTCAAGGCCCTCTCCCCGATCCTGCCCTGCAGTTCAATAACAACTTAATTATTCTAGGGAAGTGAAAGTGGCGAGGAGGCAGAGGGAGCCTGTTATCTGAGCTGGGGAAGTCTGCAGTTTAGGATGGATGCAGCGAAGCCTCTGCTCTCGATCTCCCCCCCCCCCCCGCACAAACACACATATACATCCCCTCTTCTAGAGGAATGAAGCAGTCACGAACACACACCCAGGCTTTGGACTGAAAAGAAGCAATTTGCAGAGAACACGTCCCGGTCGCCAGGCGTAGCAACGATCCAGCAGCACGGATGCGCGCCAAGGTTGTAAATGGAAAGAAGGGCGGGGGGAGGGAGGGAGGGAGGGAGGGGACACGGCTAACACAAAAACACGATGTCCAATAAAAATTAAACGAGTTAGACTTCATAAAATGCAGTGCTAAAATATTATATTCTCATTCTCTCCCTCCCTCCCATTTCCTTGGTAGAAATATGACTCCATCCTCTGTTTGAAATATATTCCCACAATGCTTTGAGAAAGAGCTAGGGAAACGACGTCTTCTTTGCTTCAACCACCACTTGGGTTGGTGAGTTGGCTGCTGTCTGGGTCAGTTGCCTGGAGCAGGAGTTTCCTGGGCTTGTGTGCAGGTGGTGAAGCCACAGGATGGAAGAAGGAGGTGGGCATGGTGCCACCATGTTTCCGCACCTGTGCCCCCCCCAAAAGCAGCCCATTTATCAGTCCTGACCTGTCCTGGCTTCTGGGTCATGTTTCTGACCTTAAGTCAGGAGTGCGTGCAGGAGCCAGGCACTGTGACCAGTAGGGCGTCGCAGGACTGGGGCCTTCCTAAGTTTGTTCTGGAAAGGCAAGGGCGGCCACACAGGTGAGGCCGCTTGGTAACTCACTGCACCTGGTGGCTAGAGCCGGAAGGGATATAAGGTCAGCAGTTCCCTTCGACTCTTTGCTACAGCAACATGTTTCCTGCCTCACTGAGTTTGGCTTCTTGCTTCCTGATCCTCAGACCTCAGCTTCTTGACTCCTTGCTTCTGGACCCTTGGACTCTTGGCTTCTAGACTCTCGTTCCTGCTCCCACCCTGCCATCTTGCCCCTGATGTCCTCAGCTGGGACTTTGTTCACCCGTAGACCGGACCGTGACACCATATTCTTGTGCCTCACTGGGTGACTTTGGGTTTGTCACCAACTCTCAGCCTAACCTCACAGGGTTGTTCTGAGGATAACACAGAGAGCGGGGAAAGCCACTGGTGCCACTTTGATCTCCTTGGTAGAAAAATGGAATATCAATAGAGTGAGGATATGGGCGAGGAGTTGTGTGTGACTCCAAACCATAGGTTGTCACCCCTGTTCAGCCTGGCAAAGTTTACAATACATGATACCTTTGCAAAAACTGCAGGTTGGGATATATGAAGCTGCCTTCAACCAAGTCAGATCACTGGTCAGTCTAGTTCAGTACAGTGGTGCCTCTGGTTATGAGCTTAATTTGGAGGTCTGTTCTTAACCTGAAACCATTCTTAACCTGAGGTACCACTTTAGCTAATGGCGTCTCCTGCTACCGCCGCACCACCAGTGTGCAATCTCTTTTTCTCATCCTGAGGTAAAGTTCTTAACCCAAGGTACTACTTCTGGGTTAGCAGAATGTGTAACCCAAAGTGTTTGTAACCCGAGGTGTTTGTAACCTGAGGTACCACTGTACTGCCTACACTGACTGACCGCAACTTTCCAGGGTTCTTCAGACAGGAATGTTTCCACCAGATATGGGTCAAAGAGGACTAACCGTGGAGAAGAGCTATTATTGCCCTCATTTTTCTGCTCGTCTGCTTTCCACAAACGGGTTGTGGACAGCAGGGTTTTGGGTGTGACGGACACTGGTTCATATCCAGCAGACGTATTGTTGTTGTGTCCTTATTTCCGATTGTGCGTCCCAGGAGACTCTTCACAGCCCAGTTTCTCTCAGTCTGAAAGCGTGAGGCGTTGAGCGAGTGTGCCAGCACATTTCAATATCCCCTCAGTGCTACTTCGCTTCTGCCCTCAACAAAAATGGCTGCCCACTTGCTCAACAAGAGGTGTTTTCTATGACTAGCAGGAAAAAAAGAAAAAAGGAGAAAGGGAGCAGCTGCTCCCAGCGCGGAGATTGAAGTGGCGAGGAAAACCTGTCTGTTGAATTTTGGCCCATCATGCCGTCTGTGAAAGGCACATGAGATTTGCTGGGGGAAAGAGGGAAGGGGGGTGGGATAAGTGGCAACCCTCAGTCCCTAAAGGAACCATTTTGACAGAGAGGGAAATTAATTCGGCATAAGCAGAGCCTCGGAAGCAGCTAAAGAATCCTTCACCATGACAGCTGCGGGATGAAGCAGCCATTAACGTGAGCGACTGCCGAGGAGGAACAGACACCTCAATGCCTTGTCAGATTTCAATGCTTTTCATATCTTCTTGTAGTTTGGGCAAATGTTATTCCTTCCCGACCTTTATCCTAAACCAGCTTTAGCTATTACCGAAGCCTTCTGCGGAAGCGGCTCCCAAAACTTTCCACCGCCACGTATTTTCACACCAACTGGGGAGTGAAGATGCTCACCTGCACTTTTGCAGGATGTTCCGGGACAGGTTCTGCGCTGGATGACCCGGCAGGTTGACTGGGGCGAGCTAGCAGCAACTCACACAGAGCAAGCTGGAGTTAATTCTTTATTAGCAAAAAAGGATCTGCACATGAGTGTCCGGCCTAATGGCATGGGATGGGGAGGGGGTCAATGCACAGGAACAGGAGCAGCAAGACCCATCACCAGAACAAGAGGGGACCCTGTCTCCATGAACATGGCAGGCTCTGAGGTGTAGGGAGCAGCGGCAGAGGCGCTCCAGGAGACAGAGGCAGCCAAGGGCCCACAGCCCAGCTCACTAGCTGGAGCTCACTAGCTCTGGGACAAGGTGTGTGATTCCTCAGCTACAGTAGGCTCAGGATAGGTGAGGGTCAACTGCCTCATCAAACCCAGATGCTGCAAGCAGCCTGCAACATACAAAAGGGAAGCAGAACTGAGCTGCTGCGTCTGCTCAACTGGCCAAGTTGGAGGACCTTGGCTTGGATGCTTCTAGACCTCCATGGGACTGTGCTTTGGGTTTGACTCTGCACTGTATCCTGACTGCTGGACATCAGACTTGGACTACTTGGATTGACTCTGGACTGTCTTTCCTGACCTGTGGACCTCAGAGTTTGGATTTCGAACTTTGCTTGTGTGGATTGACCCTGGTCTTTGAACTTTGGACTTGACGTGCTGCCTTGCTGCTTGGTAATAGGTTCAAGACAAAAGGTCTTAATCCAGCCACAGACATACTCTAGGGCACACACATAAGAAGAACTTCACTGGATCAAGCCAAGGACAAACCTATCACAGCTTTGTGTTCCTGTTCCTGGTAGCCAATCAGATCCCTCTTATGGGAAATCTCTCTCACTCTCTAGGTTGGAAAACTTTCCTCTTTCTTCATACCACCCGGTGATCAAACTTCTTTTCTTTTCACCCTTTCAGAGAACTTTTTGACCTGAAGGAGAATTTCCAGAACTAGTCTCACCTTTCAGATCGCAACTCAAGGCACCAGTGATTTATGATTGCAAAAGCGGCGGAAATATAAATACATTTTTTCCACCTTGTAATCAAGCTTTAATCAAACCGTGCCTGGCATTTTTTTTTAATTAACTTGTTTTCATTCTCTTTTGTTTCCTTATTTAGCACCATCGTTAATAAGCGGTTGTACGGGAAGAACAAAGCAACTGTCACCCAGCCTCACAAACCCATTCACATTCTGCTCATGTTTCAGGTTTTAGAAGGACACCGATGTAAAAAACAATTGATGGCGTATATATTTTATATGCCACCACCATTGGCATGACGGTCCTCTTTTATCAAACCATCCACGGTCATTGAAACAGTATGAAAATGTTGGGAGTCAAGAGAGAGCCAGGACAAAGGAAGATGGTACTCCTGTATCCTTAAGAGCATCATGGGGGGAGATGAATGAACTCTTCCCCTAAGACAGCAGTGAGGGACCTCTGGCATATACAAGGATGAAAGAACACAAGAAGAGCCTGCTGATTCTGGCCATTGGCCCAACTCCTCCAACATCTTCTTCTCACAGTAGCCAACAATATGCCTTCAGAAAGCCCACAAGCAAGACCTGAATGCAATGTTGGTGCTGACCTTTAAAGCCCTGAACGGCCTCAGTCCAGTATACCTGAAGGAGCGTCTCCACCCCCATTGTTCAGCCCGGACACTGAAGTCCAGCTCCGAGGGCCTTCTGGCGGTTCCCTCACTGCGAGAAGCAAAGCTACAGGGAACCAGGAAGAGGGCATTATCAGTAGTGGCACCCGCCCTGTGGAACGCCCTCCCACCAGATGTCTAAGAGAACAACTACAACTTTTAGAAGACATCTGAAGCCCTGTTTAGGGAAGCTTTTAATGTTTGATGCATTACTGTATTTTAATACTTTGTTGGAAGCCGACCAGAGTGGCTGGGGAAGCCCAGCCAGATGGGCGGGGTATAAATAATAAGTTGTTGTTGTTGTTGTTGT